GTTTATAAACATATAAATTAACAAGTTGCAATAAGTATTTGAATTAGGCATAGGTAAATAACAGAGTGGCGCTAATCTAATACGCCGCGGAAGCTCCAAGGAGAACGGTAGTTTATATGGAAATGAAATTTTGGCAGCATATGTACAGTACATCTGCTGGATCTGTGTCTATGAAAGGAATGCGGGCATTTAAATAAACAGCAATATATTTTATACGTCGATTTGACGAGTGCGTCCCAAATCGCTCCGCCCACTCACTTTATTGGCTACTTGCAAATTTGTCGATTTTTTATTGATGGGACGCGTCGTCTAATTTTTTACGAAAAACATCGAGAAAATATCGTTTCCCCTCTCACGGATACCCCGGAGCTACAGAACGGACAGACGTACTGTAGGTTAACTGAATGCATTTTATAAAAATATATAGAATTATACAAGGCGTCCCCAAAAAAAGTTACACATCAAAGTTGTGTTTTTTTCTAATGGAACACCCTACATATTAATTGATTTTGGTTTGGAGTTAATTGATTTTAGTTCGGATTCTAGGAAAAAATAAAGGTGAGTTTTATTAAAGAAGCATGTACTAAAATTTAAGGATTTTGACATATTTCACATTTTGTGAAAATGAAGAGTAAATTTTAAATTTCGATAACAGCTACCTAAATTTTAGTTGTATAGCCTGATATTTAATTACACCATTGTATGTTAAACCAAACTGAAATTTGACCCGAAAAGTTACAGTTACAGGGTGAGACAAAATTAATATGGAACATTAGTCAATTTTAAAAGCAAGTTACTCCTTTATTTTAAATGAAATTCCCAGTATTTTTTTCCGTGTTTAATGCGGAATTTATATATCTTCAAAATATTATTAAGGTTGCCTACCCCTCAGACAAAGATTTTTCTAGATATTTTAATTTTTATGATATTGCGTCAGTAGATCTTTATTATTTGAAAAAATCTAGGGTGGCTGCGTGATATACTTTTTGTTAATTTAACAAAAATTAAAGATTGTAGAGTAAAATACTCAATAGTAGTAACAATAGTAACCACTAGTAAAACTAAATATAAACCTATAATTATGTGATAAAAATTATCTAGAAGAAATCAAATCCTCAAAATGCTTCCTTTCCTGTTAACTGCATAAATTGATTAATTGGTGAATGCAGTGTGCATTCCTGCATGTGCATACTAATAGAATAATTTCAATTCTCTCTGATGTAGTATAAGTTTGCATTTTCGGCAAATTTCTGAGAATTTTTTTTTGTTTTAACTGACACAAAATGATAACTAATTTGTTAAAGTTGGACTAATTAGACAGCTGTGTTGAAGTAACATCAGACATATCACAGCCACCAAGATTTTATCAAATAATAAATATCTACTCAGATCAAACCATGTAAATGAAAATATCTAGGAAAATATTTATTTGAAGAGTAAGCAATTTTAATAATATTTTGAAGAGACATGAATTCTCCATTGAATATCGGATACCTGTACAACTTTTTGGACCAAGTTTTAATTTCATTTAAAGTACAATTTCATTTCAATAGAAACTCTCGTTCTCCTTAGAGCCTCCGCGGCGTATGAGAGGCGCCACCCTGTATAGTTACAATTTCTTCAATTATGAAGCCATTTATCAACACTTTTTTAAAGAGGGGTCTCGGCTAAGTTATTCATAAATTGACCGTTAAAGATGTTATTCTCATTGTCTTTTCCTTGATTAGTTTCGATCCTTTATTTATGATAATCCATGTATGTATTTAATAAGCAAAATAAAACACTAAATCACCACAATACACCAAAACACTTTTACACTGGACGCGCGTTTCGCTAACCATGTTAGCATCATCAGCAGATGATTATAAACTAAAATACAATCTACAATTGGAGCGTTTATACAGAGAAGACCAGGCTACTAGTAACATAGCAAGTTGCCGGACGAATTTACGTTTTCCCGTTTTGCGTTCGTTCTCGAGAGTCACTGCCGGCTAGTTGGCTGGTCAGGCAGTACGCAGTTGCAGTTGTGCTTAGACGGGTCGGTCATGACAGACTAGGAATACGACTCGAGGAGTGCCGAGTATTTATTATTTTCATTTTAAGTGTTTACCTTCACTTAAAAATACTTAAATATTTATTATTTGAGTGTGTTTACAAGCCAAAACTAAAAATAAATAAATTCTATAAACCCAAAAAAAACTAAAATATTACTCTAAATAAAAAAAAGTTATAACAAGTGTTCAAAAAGACCATCTTCTTGTGGTAGACAGAAGCCTAGGCGGTCGTAAAATCCCCGTCTGACATTGGCTAACATATTAGGGCTAATAGTTTGGAAAGCCTCTCGTACTTTTACTTGAAGCTCATCCAAATTATTAGCCCTAATATGACCATACACTTTGAATTTTACATAACCCTACATAACCACACAAAAATAAGTCATTGAGAGAAAGATTTGGGGATCTAGCGGGCCACAAAATAGTTCCATATCCACTAATTAAACGGCTGGGAGAAGTATTGTTCAAATATTCGTGAACAATACGGGCATTGTGAGCAGGACAACCACCTCAGCAATTTGATTACTTGAAAACGTGGGATTTTGATCCGCGGTAGCACAAATGAACACTTGCTTTAACTCCTGTTCTTCATTAATCAACACATCAAGCTTTTTGTTTTTTTTTTGTGGGAACACGCACCCATGTGTTTCAAAATTATTAATAACTCTTGATACAGTAGGTAAAGATGGAATTGGCCTGTCTACAAAAGTTTGTGGAAAAATTGTTTGTATATTCCGATAAGACCTATTTTGGAAATACCATTTTACAATTTGAATTTTCACACGAACTTCGTAAACATCCATTATTTTACTTAAAACCTAAATTTTACACGAGAACTGTCGCGAGAATCTATGTATTCGTTTTGGCTATTAAAACACGAATAAATACATATTCTGAAACATTCTTATCACATATCTACCTATTTTTATTTTATCGCATTTTTTCGCCTGTTTTTTATCCGGCGGACGGATATACGCTAATTCGTCCGGTTCTGCCTATGTTACTACTACGGTGGTCCGGTCTGTATACTCGCTCAGGGGGCACAGAGTGGGCGTGGCAAGATCTAGCCAACCGAGTCAAAACCCACTGAGCGTAACAGTTAGATTTCCGCCACTAGAGTAGTAGGAACAAAGAACTAGAAGGAATTGCACCGTTGTCTCTGTTCATACTATCTTTACATTTATTAATTCTGATGCTTTCATATGCATCTAATTGCCTGTAATTTGAGACTTGTTTAAGTAATTTTAAGTTATTAAGATCTATACAATGTTCTTTATCAACAATATGTTCGGCAACGCAAGATTTATCAGGTCTACCATATCTTATCTGAGCTAAATATTCTTTAAATCTAGTTAATATTGATCTTCTAGTTTGCCCAACATATTTCTGATTACAATCTTTACAAGAAATTTCATAAATACCCGACCTTTCCAGTAGAGGTGTTTTATCCTTTGGATTACCTAATAATTGTTGTAATTTATTATTAGCACTATACACAAGTTTATAATTGACATTCTTAAAAATTCCTTTTAGACCACGGAATAACAATGTCTATCAAACGGTATAGAAAAATATTTTGACGTATCTTTCTCCACTTGAAAAGTCGAATTTTGAGAAATCATTAACCTATACCTACGTTTTCTAATTATTTTATCAACTAGTGAAGGAGACTCTCCATTACATTCAGCTACATTCCTAATGTAATCTCTTTCTATTTCATATCTTTCGTTGGAAAGTGGAAAACTAAGTAATCTATGAAGTTACTCAGAATTACTTAGTTTTCCACTTTTTTTGGTTTCCACGATTTTTATCATGTGGTAGTAATATACATAATATTAATCATAATTATTATAAATAAATCAATTTTTACTAACCAGTTTCTAATGTTCTACACACCCTCCTTAAGCAGAAATTTATTTTTCGTTTAATTTTATGTATAGCCCTTTAAACAGATCTTCTTATACTTCGCATTTTTACATTTGGTACTCTTTGTTGTAAATGTTGATGTGTACTGATTTCACTTTTACAAATGACGTCAAGTATAATGTCCCTCAAATGAAAATATCCCTTGGCGACAGGTCTATTATACCGCTCCACCATTTCCAATCCATCTTCCGGGGACATGATTTGATTGTTTATATTATATTTATATTGGTTTTTATTATTTTATTGTATTTGATTTTTCGTATACAATGTTTTATCACACGTCATTGTTTAAAATTTAATTTTTGTTTTAAAGCTCATCAGTATTATTAGGATGAATAGATTAAATATGTTAAAAAACCAGAGGCGGATTTAATATTATTTTAAATAAATTGTGCTTATGTGTCCGAAACAAAATAAAAATATTAAGTGTGACATATCGACTCGGGAGACCGAATTCTTTAAAAACATAAATTAAAAAATGCATAACAAATAAGTTGGCCTATGTATCTCACAAATTATCAAATAATTAGAAACTCTAATAATACTACAGGTAGCATTGATAAAGTGGCCAAGAGAATGTGGGATTAGTATTAGAATTTTCTAAAAAGTACCATCAGGAAAAAATAAAATTGATTTTCAAAAAAATCGTTTTTTTCTATATATCTTAGCGATTTTTGAAATTTCTGAAACTTTTTTGATCGCTTCTTCGTGAACATCCAAAGACGCAAATTTGCCCCAATTTAATGAAGTTCGTATCTATTTACGGTTTCCAATTCCAAAATACCATTTTACCAGCTTATACCCAGAATTTGTAGCACCCTGTATATTCATGCCCAATACCCTAAATATTTTTTTAAAGTACATCCGCATAATCTTCCTCATACCAATTTAATTAATAAAATTTTTGTTCAATACAAACTCTAACTTCTCTAATTTTATAAAATTGATATAGGTATTGAGTATTCGAGAAATTGTGTTAATTGCAAATATTTTTTTTCAGATATGAATAACACAATTAATATGGACGCTGAAAACCGGGTGGTGCTGAATGTTGGAGGGATTCGCCACGAAACGTACAAAGCAACCTTAAAAAAAATACCCGCCACGCGTCTCTCAAGATTGACTGAAGCTTTGGCTAATTACGACCCGGTTTTGAACGAGTATTTTTTCGACAGGCATCCAGGAGTCTTTGCTCAAGTATTAAATTATTACAGGTAGATATTTTAACATAAAATTAGGTATAATAACCACAGCCTATTTTACACATCTATAACTAATAATTCGTATTTTTTCCTGGAAAACAATCTATGCTTTTCGTATGTTGAAGATTGGGCGAGACAACATGTTCCTCTACACTACTCGCGAAATGCTTCGACAAAACTTTTCAACACATCTACATTATTTATACTACTTCGCCAAGTAGTCAAATTCAAACTTTCAGGTGGCTTCAGAAAAAAAGTAATCATGGTATATGAATAAATATAATTAGTTTGTAATGGAGTGTAATGAAATATCACTATATTAAACTGATATGAAAAATAAAAAACAGTAAATTTAGAAATCAGTTAACAATGGTAGATTAGGTTAGCTTAGGTTGTGACGAAAACTAATAGCGGTGTCTGGAGCTCAATTTTTATCAAAAATATGATGGTGAAATAAACATAAAACTTTAATAAATATAATAAAAAAGTTTAATAAACTTAAAACTAAATTAACGGAAAATATTGGATTTTTATGAAAACATTTCCAAAGCACCTTTTTACGTAGAATTTAATGATTTAAGTATCATTTTTTAAGAGTTATCAACAGAAAAATTGATTTTTTATTTGGGACACCCTGTATATTTTTAATTAAATGAAAAGAACTTAAAATGACTTTTCTAAAAATATATAGAACACTTGATATTTTATTATAGCCCCGAAAATACAGAATTTTTAAAAGTTCACCACTTTTAACTAGTAGGCTTTGGACACCTTATTGATGATCTGCCTCTAATAGAACTCGAAAACATATTATTCCAGCAAGACGAGGCACCGCCTCAGAACACTGAAGTTATCAGCAAATGTTTGCAGCCAATTTCGAGAATAATTGAATAGTTGACCAAGGTCCCTGCCGTTGGCTATCGAGGCCGTCGGAGTTAGTGCTTATGGATTTTTATCTTTGCGGAAAAAATAAAAAAAAAATATTTTAAATTGTCCGTATAATCTAGACAAGAATTGGAAGTACTTAGCGGTTATGCGAGGGTATCTTTCACCCCTACCGAGTTAATGAATTCCGCGAGTAATGTTCTAAAACGGTCCCGTCTGTCCATAACAGAAGACGGTCGACATGTCGAACACCTGTAGCAAAATCTCATGTCTTGGTTTGCTATTGATTTTTATTGTTATTGATATAGTTATGTGTTGATGTTGTTAAATATAGGTTAAATTGTTATAAAATTCTGCATCTCTCATTGTATCTCTTTTGCATTACAGTCGGCGCGTTCTTTTTAATGAATTAAAAATATACAGATTGTCCCATATAAAAATATCAAATCTTCTGTTGATATTTCTTAAATTATTAATTTAAAAAAAATATACTTAAACCATTAAATTCTACGTAAAAAGGTGCTTTGGAATTTTTTCATAAAAATACCAAATTTTCCATAGCAAAAAAGTTACAGCGATTTGTTATAAATGCACATTTTTGAAAAACACCCCGTAACTCCAAAACGATAACAGATATCGATGTGCGGTTTTGACCATCATATTTTTGATAAAAATTGAGCTCCAGACACCGATATTAGTTTTCGTCTATCTCCTATAGGAAAGGGTATTTCCCTTTAAAAGGGTTCAATTTGACCCACCCTCTACAAAACTATTTTATACCGATTACTACGTAGGTATGTGTAGAGGAATAGAGCGGTTCGATACACTTGGACTTCTTAGGGCACAAACATAGTGAGGCATCTCGATGCGATGCTCGCCAAGATGCTGGCCGCGCTGCTCGCCAAGATGCTGGCCGCGCTGCTCGCCAAGATGCTGGCCGCGCTGCTCGCCAGGATGGTAGCCGCCGATGCATCCTACGCGCACTGTTTTAAAACGGTAAATAGGTGCGCGTAGGCATACTGAAGCATTTACGATCGCCATTTTATTAAACACCAGTTTATATAAAGTAGTTATTAATTAATTAATTAGTATAGGCCCTTATTGCATTTCAGTTGATTTCAACAAATTCCGAACGCAGCGCTACAACGGCAAAAATCAGATACCTATTATCCCTACCTATTTCACGTCGGCGTCATGTTGATCTCATAGAATAATATTGAAATCGTGGTTTGGTTATTTAAGTATTTTAGTTTTTTGCTAGTGCAGTTATTGAGACAAAAAAGAGATAAAACACTCAGGTACGAGGTTTGTGATGTAACGCTGTTTCGGGTAATAAAAAATAAATGAAAAAGAATTCGAACTAGGCGTCGCGTCGTGCTGTGTTCTGACAATTTCAAATGTTAATAAAATCACCGAAAAAATTTTAACGCGTAAAGAAGAGCGTACTTAGGGCGTTGTTGGGTGCAACTACATACATTCAATAACTCAACTTTCCCGGATATTCAACTCTCTCGAAACAAAATTTTATAGCTTCATAGTTTCTCACACCAATTTGATCAAAAGCAAAAATGGATTCAAGCATTTCGATGAAACAAGTGAGTAAACAAAGTGCTCGTTACATCATCAAAAAATTAAAAAAACATATACTATGAGAGGATAAAATATAATTTGCAATATTAATGGTATACTTCTTTTAATCAACTAGCGATTAAAGTACTTGCTATAAATAAATAAAGTCCATAAACTAATTTCGATTTTGAAAATAGCTACTGTCACTAGAAACTTGCCATGACGACATCAGCCCTCTTTGTTGCCATTTTATTGAAAAATTGCTCTATATTCAAAATCTGAGCTAGATAGGTATAGGATACCCTAATAATAGTTTGAAAGAGCATTTGAATCTGTTTCGATTTATTTTAAAAAATACAGGTTGTCGTATTTGAAATAACAAGGATTTTATGTAAAATAAATATTTAAATAAATCATCAATTTTTGGTACCCCTGTATAGATTTAAGTGAGCAATACAATTTTTCAGTAAAGTTTATTTCTCTATCTTTAAACTGAGCACAATAATTAATTAAAAAAGCAATGCACAGGGTGTTGATAATCTATTCCATTGTAGCATGCATATTTAAATATCTTTAAATATCTCAAAAACCAAAGCTTGTAAACATATTAATATATAATAACCCTTATAATAAAGGCCTTATTTTGTGTCCAAGGATCCAAATATGAAATAAAATACCGGGCGTTCCATAAGAAAAAATATAACTTTGATGTAAATCTTAGTTCTGACATACCCTGTACATTTCAAAATAATTTTAAATTATGCACATGGTCTTCCCACATATGGTCATAAAATATTTTGTTTCTACATATTTCCGTTTTCGTATAATCAACCGAGGCGAATGAGTTGGGCCACTCTGTATATAGGTGTTCCATTTAAAAAAACATTCGCAATCCACTCACACTTTTTTGAGCCACCCTTTAGAAGTTCAAATATTTTCCTCAAATACATCCTAATACATACTTTATGTCTGGACTACACAATTCATAAGTTTTTTATTATAGGAGCTGCAGATGCCCGACACACTATTCCCGGATCCTGTAGAATAAAGGTTATTACATTGTTGGTGATAAATTAAATATTAGTATTGTGAACATTTTATTCCATCTGACTCTAGTTCGACATATGTTCAACGAATTGTGATCCTAAACAGACCAATCAAATGTAAAGTTTTAGGCATCCGCGTCCGCTTCTCGCAAAAATACAAAAATGTTGTTTCCTAGAAAGCATCGCGCTGAACATATAGGTGCGTGGCGAGGTGCGAGGCTCCAGTATGTTTTGATGCATAAATTTGTACATGTTTGATTCAGCATCGCCGGATGGCGAGGTGAATGGCGCGCATCGTGTCGAGATGAAATGCCCCGCACTATGTTTGTACGATAGTCGCGATGCATCCTATGCGCACTTACTCGCCGTTTTAAAACAGTGCGCGTAGGATGCATCGCGGCTAGCATCCTGGCGAGCAGCACGGCCAGCATCGCATCGAGATGCCTCACTATATTTGTGCCCTTAGGCTTTCTTCAAGCGTTTATGTTGGAGCGGCGATAAAGGATAAAAGAAGGGATAGTAGCGAAGCAAAGAATATTATTATATTAATTTATATGTATGTGTTTATATTGGAGCAACGGCGTAGAGACACGCTTGGCAGTCGAGCAACGATAAGAGCAGCGCTAAGTTTTGGCTATTCTCTTGCTTTTATATGAAGGGTGATCGACATGGATACCGATAGTTTAATAAGTGAAATATTTATTAGATCTGCCTTGTGGGACCAAACAAATAAAAACCATCATAATAGACTGAAATTGTGAAATTCTCCAAACTTGTACCTTCTGGTATTAATTGGGTGTGCACAGAATTTGTGTCTTTTTTATCTGCAGTTTTAATAATATGTATATTTTTAACAGAATTTGAAGCTAAAAAACAACAAAAGCAAATAAAGCATGGAAAATTATCAACGGAATGCGAAAGCAACATAAAGATACTGCAGGGATGAATATTATTCCGATCGAGGATTGGAAGACTTATTATCAAAATCTGTTGACGGAAAATAGAACCGAATTCATACAAGATCATGAAAGTCATCCTGCTAATCCAACCTAACCTGAGCATCCAACACTAATAAGCTCTGCAGATGTAAATAAAGCCCTCCAACAAATGAAAAATGGTAAAGCCCCAGGTTTGGGAAATGTTTCAGTAGAACTTTTAAAGGCTGCCCCCTCAGCAGTTTTGGAAATTCTGGCAGATATTTTTAGTAGATGTTTAAATGGAGAAGACCCGCCCAAAGAATGGAAAAAAAGCGATTATTACGTCCATATTTAAGAAAGGGAGCCGACGCGACTGTGAAAATTATAGAGGAATTAGTGTCATTTGTACTGTAGCTCGACTCTATGGCAAAGTACTAAAACATAAGATAGAAGCACAAATAACGGAATCAGAAGAGCAAAATGGTTTTAGACCGGGACGTTCATGTACTGATGGCATTTTCACTCTCAAGCATCTAATCGAAAAAAGGCTAGAAAGGGGAAGGACGGTCCACTTGACATTTATTGATCTACAGAAGGCATACGATACAGTCCCACTGAGTAAGTTGTGCGTGTCAATGCAAAATTTTGGTATCAGTAGTTGGTATGTCCAAGCAACAAGAAAATTATACGAGGGTTGCAGTAGCACAGTTAAACTTGGAAACAATATTTCCCAAGAATTTCTTGTGAATAAGGACTTAAGACAATGGTGTTCATTAGCACCAACTTTATTTAAAGTATATTTGGAGGAAGTACTGAAGTGTTGGAAGATGAAATGCCGTGGAATGGGAATCCCAGTAGGAAAAGACACTTTATATACCTTACTCTTTGCCGACGATCAGGTCTTGATAGCGGGAGACAGAGACGACTCCAGTTATATGTTTAGAAAACTGCATGAGGAATATTCGAAATGGGGCCTAACAATAAACACAAAGAAGATGGAGTACATGGTAGTGGGTGATGACGAACGTGAGGATTTGGATGTAGGAATCGGCACAATTAAAAATGTCTGTACATTTAAATACTTCGGCGTCACTTTTACAACAAATGGAAAAAGCACTCAAGATATTGCAAATAAAGTTGGTCAAGGAAAAAGAGTTATCGGTCAACTTAACTCGTTGTTGTGGAGTGACAAAATTTCCCAAAAACAAAAATTCTACTTTATAAAGCCATTGTAGAGAGCATTACCACTTATGGCGCTGAAACGTGGGAGCTAAACAAAGTAGAGAAAAATAAGTTGCTGTCTCTTGAAATGGATTTTTGGCGAAGAAGTTGTCGCATTTCAAGACTGGAACACATCTCAAATCAAAGAATACGAGAAATTGTAGGAGAGAAAGAAACTATTCTCGACGCCATTGACGGCAAAATACTAAGTTGGTACGGACACCTCCAACGAATGGATGATAACCGATGGCCGAAAAGAATTCATTCATGGACACCAAGCGAAAGGCGGAAACGTGGAAGACCACCTCGAAGATGGAAGCAGGGCGTAGTTGACGCTATGAATTCTAGGGGCCTCCAGGAAGAACACTGGACAGACAGAAATCTGAGTAAAAATCCGCAATATATATATATATATATATATATATATATATATATATATATATATATATATATATATATATATATATATATATATATATATATATATATATATATATATATATATATATATATATATATATATATATATATATATATATATATATATATATATATATATATATATATATATATATATATATATATTGAAGCTAAAAATAATTCCTCTTCGGAATCACTTATTTTAAACAAATATATTTTCAACCCATTGATTTGGTCTCAACGTCTACTTGCAAAGCAGAAATTGTTGTTACTATCACAGCTCCACTATGAACGGCAAATTATAGAAGTGAATTTTGCGCATCTCTTGTCAACGTTTTTATCACTGCTTTTATCGTTTATCGCAGCTCCAACATAAACGTACCAAGTATGGCTATCTGGTTAATAAATAAACTGTGCTAGATCGGGGATAAATAATTAACTATAATAAATATCTATTAGCGAAATTATGAAATGAGTAAAGAAATTATAAATAAATTAATCTCATGATTTCGCTAACACTAAAATCGACGCATCGTAATTTTTAAGCGGAAATATCTTGAAAACCGTTCACCGTATCGAACTAACCAAAGAACACCTTTCTTACGAAAAAAGTCCTAGCTTTCCATTTGTTGAAATTACTTTTCTATAAGGATGCCTAATGGCTTAATAGTGTGCAATAAACTGAAATTGAATATGATATATTAGACTTACTTTATTGTGGTAAATTTTATGCCATACTTTTACTATGTATATGATATATTATAGAATTACCATATTATAAAATAACTGTTTTTAGAACTGGTAAATTGCATTATCCTTCCGATGTTTGTGGTCCTTTGTTTGAAGAAGAACTAGAATTTTGGGGCCTTGACGCAAATCAGGTGGAACCTTGCTGTTGGATGACTTATACACAGGTAATTATAATTAGTGTTATTGTTACTATAATAGTTATTTACAGTACAAGTGTGTTTATGAACATGATTACAACGAGTGTGAACGATTAGAATCTAATTAGTTCTAATCACACGACTGTTGTAATCATGTTTAAATGCACGTGTCATGTACAACGTTTTATCTACAACCGAAAAATAAGAAAATGCTGTTTTAATTTTCGTTTATTAGTCGCCCACCTTTAACACCTTTAACTATGACATTTGTCACATTTTTTTCTGAAGTCAGTTTGCCCTGTCAAGTAAACGCGAGCACTTTTTGCCCAGAAAAATAATTTTAAAAATTACGATGAGCGATTCCGAAAGTCTCCCTTCAGATGTAGAAGTTGCCGCAGTACGTGCCACGGAATCATTATTGCCGGAAAAGTTAATATATTTAGATGTTCGTAGTTGTTTTTCATTATTATAAAAACTAGTTGTGTTATAGATTCATAACATCACTAGTTGTGTTATGAATCTCATAACGTAACTGAAATACTAAAAAAATAGTGATGTAAAAACGTTATAACTAAACGGTTGTAGATAAATAAACTAATTAACCAAAGAAAATGAATATGCCAATATGATTCATCATCCTAAACATGTGGTTTGAATTTAAATATGTCAGATAATAATGGAAATAGATTAATATATAAATGAAACATGTTAAAATGGGACAAATATTGAGTTTATATATTACTTCTGTGAGGTAATGCCGGATTCTGCATCTAGAATTTCAAATCGCCCAAGTCAGCTTTTTGAATAATATGGAAACTAGGATTGTACCTATAACATGTGAAAATTAAATAATAATTTGTGGCGGATTCATCTCTCTAAAAAAATTCTATATGGGTATTTTCTTTGGTATTTCTCCACTGCTAGAAAATAAAATAGTTATTTTTTGTAAACACTGCTGGGTGTTAATCCAACGGAGACTAATTGTCCGCAGTTAGGTTTACTGATAAACAAATTTGCCTAACGAACAAAAAATGCTTAACGTTTTGGAAAGTTTATCTCTTTCTTTCGTCGGAAGCAAAAAAACACAAAGAATAAAAAAAAATATATTTAAAATATTTAAATGCAACTATTCGAGAACACTTTATTTTTTTTAAACAGATACGTCTACAAAAAACCGTTGACGTGCTGTTTAAAGTGACATATATATATATATATATATATATATATATATATATATATATATATATATATATATATATATATATATATATATATATATATATATATTATATAAGTTATGTTAAGTATATTATAAGTTAAACTTCAAAATTAACAATTACTACCTGATAACAATTATTTAATAAGGTAAAACCAAAAAGCTTTAAACTTTCGGTATGATTATTTTTAATTTGCTTTTAATTAGCATTAAAAAGCTATAACTAGTTCAATACATTTACTTTGAATGTTGTAACTAAATGTGTTTCGGACTTCCATTGTCTTTATTTATTTTGCTTACATTAATCAAACGTTTCGGTTAGAATTTCTACCTCACTTTTTACCTTAACTCAATAATAAAAAAAATATCATCTTTTTAGCGAACTCTTTGGCACATTCTGTTTAAATATTTAGCTAAAGAGAGTGGGAGCAAATAAGAGTGCAACTTAGTAAGTAGCCTTCATTAAGCCAGAACGTTGCAAAGTCCACCGTGAATTCAAAGATACAGATCTCTGCAGTAGTGGCGGATCTAATTTTCTTGTGTACGCTCAATTTGAATTAACGCACAAGACAGATTAAATTTTTAATGACAATGGAATAAAGAATACCAAAGATAATAGTTAATAAGAGTTTTCAATGACAATTTTCCAAAACTTATGACAAACTTTCATATTTATGACTAACTCTTAGAGTCACAAGAATTTAAAAAAAAAAACATTTTATTAGAATATTATAATCAAAAATATTCATGAGAAAAATTCAGGAGTTAATTTTGCATCGCGTGGTATTAGGTGAGGAAATTTTAAATCAAATTGTGTTTAAAATAATTTGAAAATTACGTTTTTTATATATTATTATAATGCGTTTATTCAGTTCTGATGGGTTTCAATTTACTATATAATATTGCGGATATAATAAATTTTATAATCATAGATATTAAACTAATACTTTTTGTAAAATTTTGTCCCTATACTCTGATGTTTGGTATGCATTTGTTTGAAGCAGACTAGTACCGTAAGACCGAAAAAAACGGCGTCGGCTATAGCTGCGAAATGAAGATCGCTACCATTTTATATGAGAAATGTCATTGATCGTCATTACCCAGCCAACTGAACGCTTTTTTTTCAATTATACGGTACATTTAAAGCAATAAATATGTAGACAGGAAACAATGAACCATAAACTTCAAGGAGCTTCTCATGATCGTGGATGTTTGGTCATTACTCTCAGAAGCTAGTATTGAATGCTAGAACAACAAATTAAAAAGAGTGTTAGAAAATAAGGCACAATTATGGTAAGATGCCTTTCAAAACGAACCGGTTCTGATGGATCCTCTTTTTTAGCTTACAAAAATTTCTTGGTGATACTGAATGAATTTCGGCCTTCCATTTCTTTTATTTATTTTAACTTACATAACTGTAAGCGCCAAAAAGTTTTTTTCTCAAGCGGTCAACTCAAACTTAAAAATAAAAACCATAAAACAAATTTAAAGGGCGTAAATGTTGTATAATAAAATACAACTAATAATATAAAATAAAAACAATACTAATAGATGGTACGTTACTAATGGCAATAGCGAACTTTGATCTGGGCGCTGCAGATGGACAAATGTTGTATAGCAACAAAGGTCTTGTATGACCTGATGACTACTACCGAGATGACCTACCTGCAATTAAAGAAAAAAAATTGTGTGAGCAACAATGTTAGCAGTTATTATTAAATTAAAGTGAATTTAAAATTAAACAGGTACTTGAATAATTTATTAATAGTCCAACCTAAAAATATACGTTTAAATAAAATCATAAAATGCCACACATCCTAGTCACACAGTGTAACAGTCAAATTTCCTCGCAACGACCTCTGTGTGCTAACTCATAAAATATCGCAAATAGCTATTATTTTTGCATCATGTTTACTATAATTTTATTGTTAAATATTATTTTATTTAAATTTTACAATTATGCAACCCGATATACACTGCGCTATAGAGCCACAGAATATTGTCACTGGATGCCGCCCAGCATTAGAATTTTTGTCGACCTCTTTTTGTCTTTGGTCATCACTTGTCACTTGTCACTGTCAGATCAAATCAGATGTTTTTGGATTTATTTATCCTGTGTTTTGGTTATTGAAATTTTATAATTATCAGATAAAATTTCGTAGTTAAATTGGTTATTTTTGATGTGGATCGCAGTGTGCAATTCGTTCATTTAATTGTGGGAATTTGTGAGTTTAGTTCGTTCATTGACCGGATATCGAAGATGGCTGTGAAAATAATCTAGAACATAATTTTTTATTTATGCCTTTTTGTGAGTTGGACTAGTCACGATATATAGTTCTCTATCTATATCCTGGAGGGTGATTTCCGGTAGAAATCTGATTTTGTGAAGGAAATCGAATCCTTGCATCACTTCTTGTGTACTCCCCGACCGAGAATATCGTCGTGAAGAACTGGCTGCCGTTTCGTGAAGCATTCCGTTCGCGAATAGCAGGTCTTCGTAAAGAAGGATTGAGGCTTCCGAAACACCTTTGGTCAGAGACGTGGTTGGATTTTGATGATTTTATGGACCGCCGACCAATTTCCGTAATGGGTTTAAAATAGCTTTTTTCCGGCCGATATTCCGATTCCATGTGCCCAAGAAGTCCCCGAACAGTTCCAAGGTATGCTATAATTCTTCTGCCTATTCTAAGTCAATGCCCAACTCATTTTTGTTCATATTGTTGTCTGGTTTTCGACTTTTCCACGCCCACGTGATGTAGAAAGATTAGTTGAGTGTTATCTTTCTTAAGTCTTATTTGGTTGTTCGTAATTGTAGAGCAAGAAGACCGATCCAGACCGTAGTGCACAGAACAGTCCAGAATTTCATCCTGTTGCCCGTGTAGAGGTACCCGTTGGACATCATAAACCCTCATTGAGGTAAAGTTCAGATTTGATTAGTCCTTCTTTATTACCTTTATTAACTCCTACACGTTGTGCTAGTCCTTGTTCTATAATTGAGGCTCTTTTCTAAGACAACCAATATGATTTAGGGTTTTTTTATGTTCACCTTTTGAAGTCCTACACCTGCCTGTACATTTGCTGAAGGGCTCCAGTGACAGTACACCGAGCTGCTGTACACCGTCGTAGCAACCCTGTAGCTATATGCTGTAGCTCAGCCGGAGGAAGTTTTCAAGTACAATCGAATAGAGTAAGACTGTACAATTTTAGTTTAGATTAGTATAATATAGATTTCATTTGTGTAAACCACCCTGGTTGTATCTAGTGTTAAGTTAGATAAGGGGGTTTGACGTCTTAGTTTTAGTATAGTTAAGAACATTTTCATTTTGCATCCATATCTAGTAATTCGTATCGATTTAAATTTCTTAACACATTTCATTCATTTCTTTATAAACTTTTAATATTTTAATAAGTTGCTTAAATATTTTTACTAGTATTATTTACAGTCTAGTCTCATAGTTAAGTTAGAGTTACTTAAGTTTAACGAATTACAGTAATATTTGAAGTTCATGGTAGTTGCACTCAACAGTTCGAGGTTAGTGTTGAAGTCTACTTAATAGTAACATCTTTTATGCCGAGTTCATAGAGTATAATCTCGTGGCGCCCTTTTATTAATATCTTTGCACCCCGACCACCCGGCTGTTAAAAATTAAAAAGCTAGTGGCCTCTATGTAACTCATTCAGATTAAGTAAACTTTGTGTTTTATTGAACTTCAAATTAGAAAGGGCGTGGCAACAGACTATTAAAAAAAAAATATGCCACACAGGCTAAAAAAACAAGCCACACAGGCTATCAAAATGCCACACAGGCTAA